CCTGGCTAATTTTTGTATTTTTAGTAGAGACGGGGTTTCACCATGGTCTCGAGCTCTGACCTCAGGTGATCCGCCCACTTTAGCCTCCCAAAGTGTTGGGATTACAGGCGTGATCCACCGCGCCCGGCCTCAAATGTCACTTTCTCAGCAAACCTTTTCCTGGTGTCTTCCCTGCTTTCTGGTGTTCCTGGTGTATCCTGCCTGTTCCACAGTGGTCAATGGACTTGTGCTTACCCTAAGATCTCTCGCTACACTGTAACCATTACTTTCCATTTCTGCCTTCACACCTACCTCCAGGACTGGATTAGGGGAACTGTGTCTTTCCCCTGGGGTCCATCATATTCATTCAATGGTTATGGTATACCTAGAGCTGTTTGAAGTATTCGGCATACATCTGTGAACCAAACAGGAAATCAACCCTGCCCTCGGGAAGGCTCATCACCGAGCCTACTGATGAAGGAACAAATGAGATGAAAAGAAAATAGCATAAATGGAATTCACCTGAAAAGATGCCACTCTAAAGGGAAACTGTTGACAGGTAGGGAAAGTAGGATGCCCCATGGACAAAGAGTCAACTCTGTCTTTATGACAGGCCAACTCAGCGGATGCCCACCACGCTTGGCTCCAATTCAAAGAGCCACCATCTTTGGTCCCCACCTCAGTGGGTTGCCTTGTGGCCCAACGTCTCCGTGTCTTCATACCTAAACTCGGAGCGGGGCGCCAGGTAAAGATGAGTATTATGGTCCGAGAAGCGAACTTCCAAGTCACCTTCGCCCAGTCGCACCCAAGACATGCCCCTCCCACCTTCTGGGGGAACCAAGATGGCTCCCGGGGAGCCGTGGGCGAGGCCCCTAGAACTCACCTACTTTGAGTCCCCGCGCGCGCCACCAGTAACGGTCGCGACCCGGGTGGAGCGAGTGCGTGTGCCGAAAAGAGCCGATTTGCTGATTGGCTGCTGCCGCTGTCTTTCACAGCTGCAGCCAGTCGAGCAGAGGCACACCCAAATCCCCACCCCCTCCTCCCCGCCCCCTTACAGCTCAAATGGGAGGTGTCTACCAGGCTGCTGAGATCAGTTAATAAGACGGTAATTGAAGGCCGCGGTGTGCCAACAGAATAATGCACGTCGATTGGGCAGCTCCAAGGGACAACCCACTACCGCTTGCCCGCCCACCACCCACTTCCCGCGCAGATTTCCAAACCGCGACCAGAGAGTCTGGCGCCAGCTGCCGGCGATGGATAGAGGGGCTCTGCCATAGACGTCCGACGTGTCCGGTACGGCCAGAGCGCCTTTCCTCGGTCCTCCCAGACATGGTGTCCGCTGACTCACGAGAAATGAAAGTGGGTTGCAGTCGTGGCTGGGGGCTGCAGTTTGGAGTCAGCCCGTAGGCGTGGCATTTCACTCCTTGTTGCAGTGGAATTTCATTTCCTTTTGATTTGGTTTGTAGTAGAAGTCATATTATTTCTTCCCGGGAATACATCTCTGACGGACATTTTGAGGTCATTTTCATAAATCCAAGATCCTAAAGATCTGTAGTCGAACAGAGAAAACTGGCTTGCACTCTGTCTTAAAGGCTGTCCCCACCTTTCGAGGGGCGAGGGAAGGATGATAAAATCATTTATTTTTATTTTTTAATTAATTAATTTATTTATTTTGAGATGGAGTTTAGCTCTTGTTGCCTAGGCTGGAGTGCAGTGCCGCGATCTCGACTCACAGCAACCGCCGCCTCCCGGGTTCAAGCGATTCTCCCTGCCTCAGCCTCCCAAGTAACTGGGGTTACAGGCATGCGCCACCACACCCAGCTAATTTGTATTTTTAGTAGAGACCGGGTTTCTCCATTTGGTCAGGCTGGTCTCGAACTCCTGACCTCAGGTGATCCGCCCGCCTGGGCCTCTCAAAGTGGTGGGATTACAGGCGAAAGCCACCGCGATCGGCCATTTATTTGTTCTTTTTTGAGACGGAGTCTCGCTCTTGTTGTCCAGGCTGGAGTGCAATGGCGCGATCTCAGCTCACCGCAATCTCCACCTTCTGGGTTCAAGGAATTCTCCTGTCTCAGCCTCCCTAGTAGCTGATATTACAGGCATGCGCTACCACGACCGGCTAATTTTGTATTTTTAGTAGAGTCGGGGTTTCTCCATGTTGGTCAGGCTGGTCTAGAACTCCCAACCTCAGGTGATCCTCCCACCTGGGCTTCCCAATGTGCTGGGATTACAGGCGTGAGCCACCGCACCCGGCCCATTTTATTATCTCACAATAAGACATGAAGAAAATGGTAACTATAACACTTGCATAATTCATAAAGTCCTTTCTGTTGGTTATCTCAATTCTGTCCACAACAGTCAAATAAGCAGATTTTACAAACAAGGAGTTGAAGCCCTGCAAAGTAAAAGGATTTTCCTAGGATCCTACAGCTAATATAGAGACAAATTGAAACAAGTTATCTGATTGTGTATTTTGAGTTATTTCCACTCCCACAAAATGACTGTTTTCATTTCCCTAAAACATAGAGCATTATATTTTAAGTGGGAAGAGAGGGCTTACACAAGTTGATGTTCCCTTATTTAGAAGGCAACTTAGAAATACATTGATCTGCCCGCCGCGGTGGCTCACGCCTGTAATTCCAGCTCTTTGGGAGGCTAAGACGGGCGAATCACGAGGTCAGGGGATTGAGGCCATCCTGGCTAACATGGCGAAACCCTGTCTGTACCAAAAATACTATATATATATATATATCTGTGTGTAATCGAATGTGAATGAACAATGATGTTGACTTGATACTACATTTCTGAGTGGCCAGACTGCAACATCCTGGAGGACAGGGAACTAATTATTAATCATTTTGTAACCATAGTTCCTAATTTGGTGGATACATAGTAACTATCAAATAAGTGAATAAATCTCTGGGAAGAAGCTGGTGGACTCTGTCTTGAGCCCATCCAATTTTCCCCCATCAATTTCCCCTCTCTCCTTTTTCAATACTGGGTATCTTGCAGAGTTGCAATGGCGGCCACCTGGTCAGTGAAATAAGCGAATTGAAAAACCACTGACTTCATTAACATGTCTAAAAAGGTAGGCTGAAAAAACTGAAAATCTATCAGGCATCTCATTCCATAGTTCCCTGTTTGACAAGAAGATCAAGGTGTCTTCAAAGTCTGCCCTAAGGCCCAGATCTCCTACGTGGATGGAGACTTCTAGTTTCACAAATCCCCGATGTCGGTTTCTCTAAACTATTTTATTCTTTGAACATACTCTCCAGACAACATCTCTATCCTGAAAAGCCCTTGCTGCAATTTTGTTTCTCTTTCAAAACAATGACTCGAAAATTTCCAAGGAAATAGCAAGAGGGCGATTCCCTTCTTGAAGTATTTGAGAGAGCAGAAGCTTACTTAAGTTCATGACTTGGGTCACCAAAGGCCAGAGGTAGCAGAGCACGGTGCCACACTCCTCCCCATTTTTCGCTGAGCTAAGCAATTCTGTCTTCCCTAGAGGTACTGCAGCTGGGAGCTTTTAGGGCGTACCTCACCACCCAACTTCTGGAACCCCAGACTTCTCAATCCCTGCATCCCCGAGAACTGCTCACTTTTTGTACAAAAACCTCAGGCACAGAGGAAAGGAATCTTGCGCAAGGTCGTTTTTCATTTACAAAACAAAAACCCAACAAAAACCAAACCGGTACCCACCCATTCGTCACTTCATTTTGCACCGTGAACAACAATAGGGGACTACAACTCCCAAAGAGGACTGCGCTCGTCCACTGGCTCAGAGGCCAATGGACGCCTGGTACATGACCGGCATCGACTAATCAGGGCCAGGCTCGATGAGGCTTTGTCTCCCGACCGCGCGCGGGGCCGATTCTCCCGCCTCCCAGCCCCGGCGCACGCGCGCCCCGCCCAGCCTGCCTTCCCTCCGCGCCCTCCCCTCTCCTTTCTCCCTCTCAGAACCTTCCTACCGCCGCGTTCGCACCTCGCTGCTCCAGCGTCTGGGGCGCGTTCCAACCTTCCAGCCTGCGACCTGCAGAGAAAAAAAATTACTTATTTTCTTGCCCCATACATACCTTGAGGCGAGCAAAAAAAATTAATTTTAACCATGAGGGAAATCGTGCACATCCAGGCCGGTCAGTGTGGCAACCAGATCGGTGCCAAGGTAAGAATTTTACACCTCTTTTATTTCTTTTTAGAAGGAAAAATCCAGGTAAGTTATGAAAAAATGGTTGTGGGGCATTTGCACTCTCCATTCTTAATCAAGCTTTGCCCCTCCCAAGTTTGTTACATTTATATATATAATAACTAGCATTTGCTTTTGGAAAACTGGGAATCATTTTTCTTGGCAGGCACATTTTGGAGAAACTAGTAAAAGGGCTCTTCGGGTTTCGGGGGCGGGAAGACCAAGGACATATGTTACTTAAAAGGGCTTCTAACGGTCCAAGAACCGGGCAGGGAGAGAGATGCGGAAACAGTCGGAGACAAAGCGGGGCGAGGTTTTGCCCATGTGCATCCCGCCCAGCCCCCCCTGCGGGGTTCTTAGGGCCAAACGGGAGCGGGAAGGGGTGAGGCTGTCGGGCGGCTGCAGAGAGCTCCAGTGCAAAGGTCGGGGGGCGATGCGCCAGGGTGGGCTGCGCTGGGCGCTACCATTCACAAAAGATCAGGGACCCCAGCGCGCCCGCGACCCCGGAGGGCCGGTCCTGTAGTTGTTCCGGGGTGGAAGGAGAATAAGAACGGGATTAATTTTTCTTGCTTTCATGGCACCTAAGCGAGACCTCTTTAGGGCGTGAACTGATATGTCGAGAAAATGGGGGTGTGTGGTTTTCTTTAACGAGTCCTTCAGGACTTAATGGGAGAGAAAGAATGCTTTAAATCAAGGGGGAGAAATCTAGCAAAGGAATAAAATTCCGAGGCCAAGGGTTTTTTTTTTTTTTTTTTGCGCGCGGTTACAGTGTAGCGGGGGAGGGGCGGGAGGAAGTGCGGGTGCTACGTTGTAGCAGAAGGGCGGGGCCCTGCGGGGCGGGGCCAGGGCGCCGCTGGCGCGCGGGGACAATGCGGCGTTGCCCGCCGGGAGGGGCGCGCTACCCTGGGCCCCGCCCCTCGCGCGGAATTCTTGCCCCTGGCCCCGCCCACGTGCGAAGTCCTTTGTCGGCGGCTCGACCTGCGCGTGCGCCGCAGTCACGTGGAGGGTGGGGGGTGGTCGACTGCGGCAGCAGCTCTTCTAGTGCCCCGAGCCTTTTGTGCGCCGCGCGGTGGGGCGGTGCCCAGCTCGGGGGAAGAACAGCGGCGCTTATCCAAGTATGGTCGACCTCCATCCGCCCACCGAGCACTTGGGACCCGCTGCACATAATCCCGAGCCGGGAAAGCTGTGGCTTTCCCGGGGGAGCGAGTGTCTAGGGGAAGGGTGTGGCAGGCACACGGGATGCCAGGCCCTAGAACAACGGCCTGAGCGCGTGTGGGATTAAAATGGGAGATGTGGGGCTGAGGCGGGCTAATTGGGATCGCTCCCGCTCAGGGGTTTGAGACCATCCTGGGCAACAAAGCGAGACCCCTCCCCCCGGCCACATCTCTTCAAAAAAAAAAAAAAAAAATTAACTGGGTGTGGTGGCGCGCGTCTGTGGTCCCAGCTATTCGAGAGGCTGAGATGGGAGGATCGGTTGAGCCTGGGAGTTTCAGGCTGTAGTGATCCGTGATTGCACCACTGCACTGCAGGCTGGGCAACAGAGGAAGACCCTGTCTTAAAAATTAAAAGAAGCTGGGCGCGGTGGCTCACGCCTGTAATCCCAGCACTTTAGGAGGCCGAGGTGGGCGGATCAAGAGATCTAGACCATCCTGGTCAACATGGTGAAACCCGTCTCTACTAAAAATACAAAAAATTAGCTGGGCGTGGTGGCGCGCGCCTGTAGTCCCAGCTACTCCGGAGGCTGAGGCAGGAGAATCGCTTGAACCCGGGAAGCAGAGGTTGCAGTGAGCCGAGATAGCGCCATTGCACTCCAGCCTGGCGACAGAGCGAGACTCCGTCTCAAAAAAAAAAAGAAAAAAGTTAAGAAAAAGATGAAATAAAATGGTAGTTGGGGACGTAGTTGACTGGGACTTGACTTGTGGTCTCGTTGCTCCTGCCCGGCAGTTCTGGGAGGTGATCAGTGATGAACATGGCATCGACCCCACCGGCACCTACCACGGGGACAGCGACCTGCAGCTGGACCGCATCTCCGTGTACTACAATGAAGCCACAGGTAAGGGCAAGAGCCCGGGCAGCTCAGGTTCCCCTTCCCTGTCTCCCACTTCTCTGGGGTCTCTTTCCATTCCTGGCACGCCTTATCCCCTTTCGGTGAATCTATCATTTTCTCCCTTTTGTGAACCACCGTCGGGGCCAAAGACGTCTGCTGCCACCTGGTGGCAGGACCTGGAACAAGTCTTGGGTCCCTGCTGTCTTCTATAAACCTTTCCCTCTGCCAGATCTCACAGCTCTTAACTTTATTCTTTGTAGGTGGCAAATATGTTCCTCGTGCCATCCTGGTGGATCTAGAACCTGGGACCATGGACTCTGTTCGCTCAGGTCCTTTTGGCCAGATCTTTAGACCAGACAACTTTGTATTTGGTAAGTTATACAGATGATATTAGCAGATGATATACTATCGTGTTCAACTTATTTGGGTGCAAGGACACAGCAAAAGTTAGGAGATGATTGTTGTACTGGAGTGCTAAGAACTGTATTCTGAAATCTAATGGAGGGTAGAGGTAGGGTAGAGGTAGTGCCTGCTGTTGCTGGTACATTATGGGGCAGTGGGGGGAGAATACATCACAGTGAAGGAGAAAGAAGATACATCCAAGGGAATTATTTCTAAAGTTGAAAGATGGAAACATCATGTATCTTCCATACCCTGTTAATTGAGCTTTTCTCCTGACTGCATTCCAGGTCAGTCTGGGGCAGGTAACAACTGGGCCAAAGGCCACTACACAGAGGGGGCCGAGCTGGTTGATTCTGTCCTGGATGTGGTACGGAAGGAGGCAGAGAGCTGTGACTGCCTGCAGGGCTTCCAGCTGACCCACTCACTGGGTGGAGGCACAGGCTCTGGAATGGGCACTCTCCTTATCAGCAAGATCCGAGAAGAGTACCCTGATCGCATCATGAACACCTTCAGTGTGGTTCCTTCACCCAAAGTATCTGACACCGTGGTCGAGCCCTACAATGCCACCCTCTCCGTCCATCAGTTGGTAGAGAACACTGATGAGACCTATTGCATTGACAACGAGGCCCTCTATGATATCTGCTTCCGTACTCTGAAGCTGACCACACCAACCTACGGGGATCTGAACCACCTCGTCTCAGCCACCATGAGCGGTGTCACCACCTGCCTCCGCTTCCCTGGCCAGCTCAATGCTGACCTCCGCAAATTGGCAGTCAACATGGTCCCCTTCCCACGCCTCCATTTCTTTATGCCTGGCTTTGCCCCTCTCACCAGCCGTGGAAGCCAGCAATATCGAGCTCTTACAGTGCCAGAACTCACCCAGCAGGTCTTCGATGCCAAGAACATGATGGCTGCCTGTGACCCCCGCCACGGCCGATACCTCACCGTGGCTGCTGTCTTCCGTGGTCGGATGTCCATGAAGGAGGTCGATGAGCAGATGCTTAACGTGCAGAACAAAAACAGCAGCTACTTTGTGGAATGGATCCCCAACAACGTCAAGACAGCTGTCTGTGACATCCCACCTCGTGGCCTCAAGATGGCAGTCACCTTCATCGGCAACAGCACGGCCATCCAGGAGCTCTTCAAGCGCATCTCGGAGCAGTTCACTGCCATGTTCCGCCGGAAGGCCTTCCTCCACTGGTACACAGGCGAGGGCATGGACGAGATGGAGTTCACTGAGGCTGAGAGCAACATGAACGACCTCGTCTCTGAGTATCAGCAGTACCAGGATGCCACCGCAGAAGAGGAGGAGGATTTCGGTGAGGAGGCCGAAGAGGAGGCCTAAGGCAGAGCCCCCATCACCTCAGGCTTCTCAGTTCCCTTAGCCGTCTTACTCAACTGCCCCTTTCCTCTCCCTCAGAATTTGTGTTTGCTGCCTCTATCTTGTTTTTTGTTTTTTCTTCTCGGGGGGGGGGTCTAGAACAGTGCCTAGCACATAGTAGGCACTCAATAAATACTTGTTTGTTGAATGTCTCCTCTCTCTTTCCACTCTGGGAAACCTAGGTTTCTGCCATTCTGGTGACCCTGTATTTCCTTCTGGTGCCCATTCCTTCCATCTGTCCAGTTAATATTTCCCTCTTAAAAATCTCCAAGACGCTGGGTCTCATCCAGATCCCATTTAGAACCAACCAGGTGCTGAAAACCCATGTAGATAATGGCCACCATCCTAAGCCCAAAGTAGAAAGTGGTAGAAGGTAGTGGGTAGAAGTCACTATATAAGGGAGGGGATGGGATTTTCCATTCTAAGTTTTGGAGAGGGAAATCCAGGCTATTAAAGTCACTAATTTCCAAGTATGTCCATTTACCATCTCAGCTTCAAGGGAGGTGTCAGCAGTATTATCTCCACTTTCAATCTCCCTCCAAGCTCTACTCTTTGGAGGGGTCTGACCCACTCTGTCAAGTGGAATCCTTCCCTTTCCAACTCTACCTCCCTCATTCGAACTCCTTTCCCCTGATCAGAGAAAGGCATCAAGGGGGCGGGGGCGGGGGCAGGGCCGGGGGGAAAGAGACCAGCCTTGGTCCCTAAGCCTCCAGAAACGTCCTCTGAATCCCCATCTTTTCTTATCCCCCAAAAAGAACAAGCATCCCTGACTGGAATGGTGTATACTGCCACATCAGTGTTTGAGTCAATCCCCAGAGGAGAGGGGAACCCTCCATCTTTTTTTGCAACATCTCATTTCTTCATTTTGCTGTTGCTTCCCCCCCCACACACTTAGTTTTGTTCTTTCCTACATTTGAGATTTCTATTTTGTGTTGAACTTGCTGCTTTTTTTCATATTGAAAAGATGACATCGCCCCAAGAGCCAAAAATAAATGGGAATTGAAAAAAGCTACGAGATGTGTGCTTATTTAGGGAAACACTGCTGATGGAGGCCTGGGGCCTGAGTTCAGGTGCACTGCTCTCCTTAAATTGACACTTCACAATATTAAGTTCCTGTCCCATCTATGGGTTCTGCATCCATGGATTCAACCAACTGGATATTGGGAAAATAGTTGTACTGGACATATATAGACTTCTCATTATTCCCTAAACAATAATAGTATAAACTATTTACATAATATTTGCATTAGATTAGGTATTACAAGTAATGTAGAGATGATTTAAAGTACACAGGTTATATGCAAATACTACATTTTATATGAGGGACTTGGGCGTCTGCCGATTTGATATTTCAGGGAGGTACTGGTAAGGACACTACTGAATAGACCCTCACATCATTATCTCTGGTACCCAAACTGTTCTCAGCACCAGTCAGTCTTTTTAATGGAGTCTGACAGCTCACTGCAGCCTTGATGTCCTGGGCTCGGGCAATCCTCATTCTCCCAAGCACCGGGACTGTAGGTATGAGCCAGGTGAGCCAATGCACCAGGTCCACCAATGAGTCTTAACTGGGGAAGGCATAGGCTTAGATACAGGATCCAGGGCTGGAAAATGGAAGCTGAGAAGAATGACAAGTCATGCGTAACTGGTTTCCAGACCAGCATCCACATCCTCTGGAAACTTGCAGAAATAAATGGAAGTTTTTTGTCCCACCCAGATGTACTGAACCAGAAATGGTTGAACTGGCCTTGGCCACTCAGCCCAGGATTCCTTTGGGTTATGTGTACCCACGGCCGTTTCTTGTGATCCTATAGGCTTAGTCAACCTGTGACACCAAGATAACTAGTGAAGCCCTGGTATGGTGGCTCCCACCTGTAATCCCAGCACTGGGGGGCCGAGGCAGGAGAATGGCTTGAGCCCAGGAGTTCCGCACCAGCCTGGGCAACAGTGAACCATCTAACCAAAAAAAAAAAAAAAAAGCTGGGCATGGTGGCGCATGCGTGTAGTCCCAGCTACCGGGGTAGGGGGTGGTGGTTGTTGGCCAGGGTGGGGGTTGGGTGGGAGGGCGAGGCTGCAATGAGCCCTGACCGTACCCCTGCACCCCAGCCTGGGTGACAGCAAGACCTTGTCTTTTTTTTTTTTGAGATGGAGTCTTGCCTTGTTGCCCGGGGGGAGCGCATTGGCGCGATCTTGGCTCACTAAACTTCTGCCTCCGGGGTTCCAGGAATTCTCCTGCCTCAGCTTCCCAAGTAGCTGGGATTACAGGCGCCCGCCATCACGCCAGGTTAATTTTTGTATTTTTAGTAGAGATGGGGTTTCACCACGTTGGCCAGGGCTGGTCAAACTCCTGACTTCAAGTGATCCACCCGTCTCAGCCTCCTAAAGTGCTGGGATTACAAGCATGAGCCACTGTGCCAGGCCCAAAGTGCTCGGATTACAAGCATGAGCCACCACGCCCGGCCCAAGACCTGTGTTTAAAAAAAAAAAGACAGTCGGGAATGCTACCTTACAGTCCCATTCTAAAACAATCTGTACCATCTGCTACCTCATACCTCATACTTTTAAGTTCTCAATGCAAGTCTCAAAGCTACCCTGAAAACAATAATTCCTTTTGCCATATTTTCAGGAATTCTGGGAACTAATACTATTCTCAACAGTCCTTCTATTTTAGCATGCTTTTCTGACTATAATACACTGTTGGGAAAAATTAACTCTAAAACTCTTGACAGTATATAAGTAACTTGCTTTTCTCCCATTCTAGAAAGCCTATTTTATGCAAAGGAGGAAGCTACATTCTAGCGTTCATTTTCTTTCTAATAGAGCCAGGATCTTGCTTTGTCACCCAGGCTGGAGTGCAGTGGTACGATCACGGCTCACTACAGCCTCAGACTCCTGAGCTCAAGTGATCCTCCCACCTCAGCCTCCCAAGTAGCTAGGACTACAGGCAAGAGTCACCACACCTGACTCTAGCATTCATTTTTTTTTTTTTTCAAACAGTCTCACTCTGTTGCTTAGGTTAGAGTGCAGTGGTGTGATCTTGGTTCACTGCAACCTCCACTTCCCAGGTTCAAGTGGTTCTCCTGTCTCAGTCTCCCAAGTAGCTGGGACTACAGGCACGTGCCACCCTACCTGGCTAATTTTTGTATTTTTGGTAGAGACAAGGTTTCGCCATGTTGGCCAGGCTGGTCTCAAACTCCTGACCTCAGATGATCTGTCTGCCTTGGGCTCCCAAAGTCCTGGGATTACAGATGTGAGCCACCATGCCGGGCCAAGCATTCATTTCCAGTTGCTTCTGTTTTATTAATTGTTGATAAGTATCAGTATTTACTTATAGCAATTTATTTGGGTAGCAAAGTTGAAAACCTCCAGCACATCCTTCAGTCTTGGTCAGGAAAGTATTCTAGACAACAGGCTCCAACAGTCTGATTTAATTAGGAATTAAATAAGTTGAGATGGGGTGGAGTGGGATCATCAGAAGGCTGACATGGGACCACTGGAGTTGGCAATCATAGCAGTGTGAGGTTGGCAAGGGGAGCAACCCCCTTCAAGACAAGGCACAAACTATTTGGCAAGGAGAGATGAGGGGTGGGACCTCACTGTCAATGGACATGCTCAGGGAGGCCAGTGGATTACATGCAACAGGAGGATCATTCAGGCAACTTCAGCTATGAGGCTGGGCATCTGTGAGGGCTGAAGGCTCAAGCTGTTCGCAAAGGCTTGTGATTCACCTGGCAAAAAGACAACAGCAGGTGACACTTGGGAACATTTGGGAGGTTGAGGCCCCTGCTCTCCTGGGCCCCCATTTAGATGAATGGGCTATAGGGAGAACACACACGGCCAGGAGTCTTCTTTCTTGTGCCTTACCTCATCCTGTTTCCCTAAACAAAGACATCAGGATCCACATACAATAAATCACTCAAGAGAAGAGAAGGGGCAGAGCCTTGTTTGCACTCTCCTTAGCTATGAATATTCCACTGCAGGCCTCCAGGAGGCTCCAAGGAACCCAGTTTGAAGGTCATCGGTATGATCCAGGGCTTTTATTTACATATGCTTTTTTTTTTTTGAGATGGAATCTCAGTCTGTTACCCAGGCTGGAGTGCAGTGGTGCAATCTTGGCTTACTGCAACCTCCGCCTCCTGAGTTCAAGTGATTCTCTTTCCTCAGCCTCCCGAGTAGCTGGGATTACAGGTATGCGCCACCATACCCGGCTAATTTTTGTATTTTTGATAGAGATGGGGTTTCACCATGTTGGCCAGGCTGATCTCAAACTTCTGACCTCAGCTGATCCATCCACCTTGGCCTCCCAAGGTTATGGGATTATAAGCATGAGCCACAGCGCCCAGTCGAAATATGCATTTCTTTCTCTCTCTCTTTTTTTTTTTGAGATGGAGTCTCGCTCTGTCACCCAGGCTGGAGTGCAGTGGCGCAATCTTGGCTCACTGCAAGCTCTGCCTCCCAGGTTCTCACCATTCTCCTGCCTCAGCCTCCCCAGCGGTATAGGCGCACAACGCCATGCCTGGCTGTTTTGTATTTTTAGTACAGACAGGGTTTCACCATGTTAGCCAGGATGGTCTCCATCTCCTGACCTCATGATCCGCCTGCCTCAGCCTCCCAAAGTGCTGGGATTACAGGCGTGAGCCACCGTGCCTGGCTTCTTTTTTTCTTTTTTGAGATAGAGTCTTGCTCTGTCACCCAGGCTGGAGTGCAGTGGTGCAATCTCAGCTCACTGCAACCTCCGCCTCCTGGGTTCCAGCAATTCTCCTGCCTCAGCCTCCCGAGTAGCTGGGATTACAGGCAGACACCACCAAGCCTGGCAAATTTTTTTTTTTGCATTTTTCGTAAAGATGGGGTTTCATTCGCCATGTTGGCCAGGCTGGTCTCGAACTCCTGACCTCAGGTGATCTGCCTACCTCGGCCTCCCAAAGTGCTGGGATTACAGGCATGAGCCACTGCACCCGGCACCATTTCTTTACCATACACATAATGCTTACTATACACCAGGCACTATTCTAAACACTGCAAATATTTGCTCGAGCCCCTCAACAATTCAACAGGGTAGTTTCTAATTATTAACCCAATTTTAAGGTGAGGAAACAGGTATAGAGAGGTTGATTACTTGTCCAAGATCACAGCTAGCAGGCATTGTAGCTAGGATTAACAAAACAGTGGTTCCAGAGCCTGTTTGCTGACCTCGACCATGATCTACAGGTGAATTAACTGGGGAACCAAGAAAAGCAGTGATATGCCCTGGAATTAATTAACTGTCAATAGGCTGCAACTAGTTCCCTATACTAGTGGGGTGACCACAAGCACAGGTTGCAGAGACAGTTGACCTAGATTTCACTCCAGCTGCACCAGCAGAATGAGTAGGAACATGCTGGAAGTTCAGTTTCTTGACTTTGTAAAACCCTATATACCCTAAGGGTATATAAAACAACTCATTTATGTAGAAGCTTAGCACCGTGTCTGGCACACAGAAAGTGATTAATAAACATCAGTGACTCCCAGGCCTGGATGCTGGCGAAATGTTACGCCTGCTGCGTTATACAACACAGGAACCTAGCAATTCTGCTCCTCAGCTCCAACCTGAGACCTCACCTGGGAGATGCTGACGCCTGTGAGTCTTTCCACACTCTCTGGCAGGCGGGTTAGAATGTCCAGTACTTCCCCAGTCACTTTGGCTGCCCCCATGGTCCCACTGCCGCTGGACACCAGTGTGATCTTATTGGCCGAAGTCAAGGGACCACTGATCTCCTCTGCCACCTGGCAGGAGAGAGATGCCCACTCAGTGCCCATGATCTGACCACACTCCTCATAAAACAACTTACCCTGGGTTTTAAGGTCCTCGTTCCATTGGTCATCCTTCCTTACTTTGGCCACTAATAATTCCCACCCCTAATTTAGGGTCCCCCTAGCCTGGTTCTCCCTAAGCCCCTCATTTCACCCCACCCCTTAGTCCCTGGTTCTATTTCCTCTTTTCTTGGTGCCCACACAACCTCCAGACCTGGGGCA